GGACTATGGAGTACACTGTACATCATCAGCATCAGGTGAAGCCAAGCACATCACTGACAGCCTGTTCGGCTTTAACTGAGCCGTATAAAAAAATACACAAAATATAATATTTGCATTTATCTAAAGTTTGGCATTTAGACATAACCCGATCGTGAATTTTTTTTCCTATTTATCTTTAGCTTATGAAAGCTGGTTTGGTGTGAGAGAAAATACTGTTCAGCTTATAATCTACGATCGAGCTACTGAAAATCAGCGACTTGTTAACATGCTTGAACATCTGGGAGTGAGAGTTTCACTCAGGACAAGCTAATCATACTTTTCCACCAAAACAGCCAAGGCCGGGAGCCACCAAAAAGGGGAGATATTAGGCCATCGCCACCAAATACTAGAGATCACATTGGAAGCAAGCACAACTCATCACCGAAGAACTCATCACATGATGAAGCAAGAAGGGGGGAAACTTGGAGAATTGGAGGCATTGCGGGAAAGTTCAAATAATCTACTAGTAGTATTTAATTAATCATTGTGCGTTGGAGCTAAACAAGAGAAAAGCTACCATCATGGTGGCCAAAGGAACAGATATATTGTCATCTACAACTTCAGTCACAGGAATGCACTCCACTACTGTTGCTGCCAGTGCAACAAGCGCCAGCTTACCGAGCGCCTCCTCCCAGATAACATGGATGTAACCAAGGCTTGAGAAGTAGAACATCATCCTGCAATGAAATGTATCGGTACATAAGTAGGGAAAGAAAAACTCTCAATACACATCAAAAGAATCAGCAATGCATATATGAAGCAATAACCTACGTCGCGGACAGCAGGAAACCAGAAATGAACATAGAGATGCTCCCGGACCAACTCTTCTTCTCATTGAATGGCAGCTTCACTGAGCCATACCTTCTCCCAACAATGTCAGAGAAACCTGCCAAGTCATGGCCCAACAGATATAGATCACTTATGGCATAAACAATCAAGTGCAATGATTTCTATAAAAAAAAACATTATGCTAGATGCGGGGGAATACCATCGCCACCATTCATCATCGACAAGGATACAATCCCAATGGGGGACTCACGCCAGAAGACTAAAACACTGAACAACAGCACCAACACATAATAGAGTGGACCTCTCAGCAATTCCCTGTAAAGAAGCAAAGTCGTTATTGTGAAAGCAGCAAGCTAAAGAATCATACGAATTTTTAGTCAATAGGATTTACTCTGGTTTTCCTTCACGTGTCACTGATTTTACTAGCGCTTCATCAGTGTAGAGCCGGAGTCCATATGTCAGAAGCCTTATGGAGTTCAAGAATGGAACGACTGCAGCGAAATACCGTGCTTCTGTCGGATTGCTGCAAGTAGAAGTAGAGCATGCTTTGGTTTCATGCCTCATGTGGTGGCTTTGGAGTGTGAAAGGTTATGAGTCTTTATGCATGCCAGGGACAGGGAATACCTGAACAGTGGCCAAGATGACATGAACAGGACGCCGGATAGCACGTGCACAACCTTCCGGCTCAAACTCTGCCTTTATTCATGATATGAATCAGAAGCCAGCAACAGTGAACATAAGCAAAGGTGATGGCATCTATGGGCGCGTTTGCGACCCTGGCCCGGAGGCCCGGCTGTGCCCGTGGGATGCAACTTGCCATGTTTGTGGTCGTGGCCCGCGAGCGAGCCTGGCTTCCCAGAGCCAAAAACGCCCTCTCCGCCTGGCCCTCTGGAAACGACGAAAAGCCTCGTTTCTTTGGAGCCGAGCTCGTGGCGGCGTACGCAGGTGATTTTGGGTGGCGGCAGGGTGGCTTGCGCGGGCTCTGGCGGGAAGGGGAAACTTCTTCGCGCGCGTCCCCGCTCCCCGCTCCCGCTCTGGCCGCCGCGCGCGAAGCGAAATGGCGGCAATTTCGCCGGCCTTTATATACGGGTTCCCACTCTCCACTCTCTCCTTCTTCCACTCGGTGCTTGCTCTTCCACCTCCCTCGTGAGAGACCGGCGGTGAGTGGTTGTGCGTGGCGGCGGCAGCGACCTCCGGCTGGTTGTGGGTTCGGTCACCGGCGCCGAGGTTCTTCGCCGCGTCCCTGCTCCGGCTGCTGCTGGGACTCCGTGGCGGCGATGTTCCTCTTCTTCTCCGTCCGCATCTGCTTCGTCTTCTTCCCGATCTACATCCTCTACTTCCAGATCTGCCTCCTCTCCGTTGTTTGGACCCCGAGCCAAGGTGAAATCGACCCCCAATCTTCTTTTTTGTGGTGCTTCTTAAAGTTCTTAGGGTTTCTTGTTCGTTGCTGTTCATGATCTGTTAGGGTTTCATACTTGTTATAACTGCTTCATGCTCTTATTAGGATTACTTGTACCTTGCTGTTCTTGATCTGTTGGGATCGTGATCTGTTAGGGTTGTTGATCTGTTTGAGATTAGTATTGTACCTTGCTGTTCATAACTGTTTGATGCAGTTGTTAGTGTTACTTGTACCTTGCTGTTCTTGATCTTTTAGGGATGTTGATCTGTTTCTGATTACAATTGCTCTGAGTTTTTTGTTCCATCATTGGTCGATGATGTTGTCCAAATTTAGCACTGGGAGGCATCACATACAAGATGCAGCCGTACTTTTGTTCATATGCATTCATTTCACATTCATGTTGATGCGTACATTAAGCTAAAATCATGTTACATTTTTACATGCTTGTAGATGGATCTGTCTTTGAGCCGTGACATGTCAGGTGTAGGAAAGGCAAATTTGCCTTATTTGTTGTTATGGTTTTCTTTGTATCCACTAGGCTGAAAAGAAAAACCCCTGAACCTGAAACCCCACTGCCTGATCTTATAGCACTGGCCCTGATTAGGGATGAAAATGAACAGTACAGATAGAGAACACTGAGAATGATATACAACTCCACTGATTCAGAGTGTATTTCTATGATTATGATGAAGAGATCTGTTTTTTTAAGTTAGTGAGAACTTTTAGAGAGAGGAGTCTTGTCACTGATAGGGAGGGGGTGTCAGTAGAAGAGCAGGTTGCCATGTTTTTACATATTGTAGGGCATAGCCAAAGATTTAGGGTTGTCCACCAGTCCTTTAGGAGGTCCATCCAAACTGTCCACAAGCACTTCCATCAGGTGTTGTATGCTGTGGGTGAGCTTAGGAATGAAATGATAAAGCCAGCTAGCACTACCACTCACCCAAAGATTCTTGGAAGCCATACATGAAATCCATATTTTAAGGTAATTGTATACCCTGGGTTCATTAGTTACATTAGACATGTTGCAATGACTGACCCATGCTTTTTAGGATGTCATTCACCTGGGCTGCAAGGCTATTGCAAAAATGCTGTCATCTTGATCTTGTTTATGGTTGTAGTTGGTCTGTCACTCAAGCTGTTCATGTGCCACAGCTGTTGTTTTAATTAGGCCGATGATGATACAATAGGATGACTGCATTAGCTGGCTACATGCCACTTTGATTTATGTACTCTCTTTTCTGTTAACTTGTTGCCCTTCTCGACTTGCCAAACTACTTAATTTTGCTACTGTTCTTAATTTGCTTCTTTGATTATGCAATATAGCCGGCAATGTATGTGTTGATTAAATGGAATTAGTTTGAGGCCTATATCTTTTGTACATTTTCATTCAAAGTGTTTGCTTATCTATTGATTATGCTGTTCTTCCTTCTCTTTGGGCCAGGCCGAGCACAGCAGCTTGCAAACACAATATGTGCTCGGCAGTTGGTGGCTGTTGGCGTTTGAGCCCGGCTGAGTATTGGGTCACAGACACCAGCTCGCCTAGACCGGGCTGAATCGGTACAGGTGCGCAAACAAGCTGCGTTGCAGCAGTTAGGGCAGGTCTACCCACGCCTGGTCCGTTTGGGCTGGCTCGGCCGTGCTGGTCCAGGTGCGCAAACGCGCCCTATGTTTCTTTCACCGATCAAAGCCTCGACCTACTTGTACGGACCCTTTCGCTGAAATGCTGTCAGATCATATTTCTCTACTATCTAGTAAAAAAACCAAAATGACACCCCACAATTGAGCCACGACACACGACAGCTAGGCAAAGCTAAAGGTTTGATTTTTCAGATAAGAACGGGGCAGATTAGCGAGTGAAAGTCTCAACGTTTTCGATGAGCCGACTCTCGGTGAGCTCGTCGAAGACGCGCACAAGAGAGTAGGCGCCGGCAGTGATGAGCACCGTGATCGCCCTGTCCTGCAGCACCGCCGCCGGCGCTACGGCCGGGGTGCCGACGCCGAGGAGGAGCCGCCTCCGCATGGAGCTCCCCGGCGAAGGTGCGAGCGCGGCGGCGTGGGGAGGCGAGCGCGAGAGTAGCAGCGAGTTGGGGGATGCGGCGCCAGGCCACGCCGCCGCAGCCACGTGGCCGAAGTAGCGACAGGAATCTGCGGATTTTCCACCCACTAGCGGGGGGTATAGCGATCTGTGATTGTCACTCGGGCTCGTGGACTTGTGGGCCCCTTGATGTGTCACTTCTGTTGTTGTGTTCATATGGATGTGTGCCAAAGCAAAGGAAGATAGCCAGGCTCTGCGATGCGTACCAAAAACATCTCGCCACGGCTGACGCACAATTGTGGTGCACATTTTTTTTTTAAATATACGAACAAATTGGTACAATTGGGATGTAGGAGTACTAGTGTACTATATTTCAAAATATACAATTGGGATGTAGGAGTACTAGTGTACTATATTTCAAAATATCATTCACTCTGTTTGCTTAAACTTATTTAGAATTATTTTTTAGCTATGAAATAGTGTTTTTCTCCTATGATATTTTATCATAATCATCAGTATAAACTAAATTTCAGCATCAGTGAATAAGATGATTATTTAAAATGCAGGAGTAAGTTACACTGTTTGGAGCCATATCAAATGTTCCACCCCACACATGAAAATACTGTAACGTATATAGTAAATAAATATTGTAACGTACTTTACAAGTGCTTAATAAGTAGTAGAAAAGAAAATCCTAGAGTATATTTATTTACAAAATACGTGTAAGCAACGCCTAAACTAAATCGCGAAAACCGAATCAACTAGCTCCTCTGCGATGAGCGACCCGACGTGTCGCGTGGCCGGGAACCGGATCATGGCCTCCACGGTGTCCGGGCTGCCCCTGCTCTTGGCGCAGGTGCGGGTCCGAGCGTCGCAGACGGGGTGATCGGCGGGGCAGCAGGTGGCGCGGTCCTTGCAGCAGGTGGCGCCGTCGGCGGGGCAGCAGCCCCAGACGAAGCACACGTTCCGGACGCCGTACGTGCAGCAGCAGGTGCTCCCCGCCGGGCACGAGCTGTGGCGGTCGCAGGTCACCGGCGTCGGCGTCGGCGGCGAGGGGGACGGGTCCGGGTTCGCCCCGCTCTTCACGGGGTAGGACGCCTCCATGGCGATGCCGCACTTGCCGGCGCGCGCGACCACGTTGCGCTCCATCCGGATGTAGCCGCCCTCGCCCCAGTCGGCGCCCCACGAGTTGCGCACCAGCCAGTAGTCCCGCCCGCCGTCTTCCTCCGTGCCGTACCCCACCGCCACCACGCCGTGGTCGAGCGACGTGCCGCACCTGCCGGTGAACACGCCCTGCATGCCAGCCATGGTTGTTGCGCCGTCGTCTGTGTTTGGAAGAAAAAGAAAGACGTTGACCTAGGGCACAGCAGTAGCTAGTTGACTTACCGACTCGTAGAGCTGGAACTCGCGGCCGCCGGCCTCGATGGCGACGGTGACGGGCTGGTGCACGACGGCCTTCTGCAGCGACTTCTCGTCGTTGCGGGGCACGTCCTCGAAGCCATCGATGGACACGACGTGGCGGCTCCTCTTGGCGACGTCGCACTTGCCGTCCCGGGCGGTGTAGGGGTAGTCCTTGTCAGTGTCGATGCCGCCGTTGCCGACGATAAAGGCGAACGCGTCGTACATCATCCCGCCGTTGCACCCGCCGTTCTGCCCGTTCTTGGAACAGTCCACCAGCTCCTGCTCTGACAGCGTCACCAGCTCGCCGGTCACGATCTGGTTGATCCCTTCCACCGCGCCCACCGCCGAGAACGCCCAGCAGCTACCTGCTCACCATGCAAAACGCATCGCTCGGAGCCGTAAGCAATGCAATGCAACGCAAAGATCGATCGAGAAGGGAAAAAAAAGAAACGTACTGCTAAGCTAAGCTACTAGGGTGATGTGATGTGATCCTTACCGCATTGGCCTTGGTTCTTGACGGGAGCGACGGCGCCCTTCTGCCTCCAGTCCACGAACTCCGGCAGCGCCTCGACGCCGTCGTAGCGGTACCTCTCCCCGGTGGTGGCGGCGGCGGCGGTGGCGTTGCGCGCGCCGGCGCTGAGGTACGCGGCGCGGAACTCGGCGTTGGTGAGGTCGGCGAAGCGGTTCATCCCGAGGCGGTACCCGCGCGCGCCGGCGCGGGCGTTGTGCGCGTCCACGAACCGGAGGTTGTCCCAGAACGCGCGGAACCGGCGGTCGTGCTCGCCGAGCGCGTTCGACGCCGCCTTTCCGTGCCGCGCCATCCACTGGTCGTACATCGCCCGCACCTGCGCCTCCGTCCGCGCCATGCCGCCCACCGCGTCGCTGCCGGGCGCCTCGGCGGCGGACTCCGCCGACGCGAAGCAGAGGATGAGGATGGACAGGGCCAGCGCGACGATGCCGCAGCCGACGCCGCCCGCCATGGCCGCGTGTCGCCGGAGACTTGCGACGTCGAGGGTCGTGTCGAGTCACCTACTAGGGGTTCTGTACGTGCGAACGACTTGCGTTGCTTTGCTTTGGATTGGACGTGCCGGGAAGGCCGGTGCCCGGCGGGTTTTATTGGTCGGGCCGTGAAGTTGTGGTCGGACACGTGACAGTAGATGGAATAGGACACGTCGCTGGGTGTACAGAAGTTGGCACGTATTCCGTACTAGGTTCATGCTGTGGGCCTGTAACACGACATAGTCGTACTCCAACTCCAATATGGTGCGGTACACGATCATGATATCCGTCTCAAAGGCATTTGAATTTGAAAATGTGTTTTTCTTTTGAGTTTTGACAGTAGTTTGGTGTGGTTTCGATATCGGACGGTCAAGACGAACTCAAAAAGGTTACGAATCCTCCAAACAAAAAACTCGAGAACGCGACTGTCACGTCACGTCGGAGGAGCACGGCTGCAGTGGGCGGCACCAACTCCAAGTCCCAACTCCGAACGCGACCATGCGTCGGTTCGCACGGCCCAGCAAAAAGTGATGGGCTAGAAACCGGGCCCGTTAAGCCCATCGATGTAACGGAGCCGTACTCGTCCAGGCCCAGCCTGATCTCTCCCTGCACACCCGTCCGATCTCTCCCAAGGCTCCGGCGGAATTCCGTAACTGTGCTCCCACCTCGCCGTCGGCCGCCGCCCGTGCAATTCCTGAGGGAACTCCACCGGAAGGCAGCACGATGGTTCAGAATAAGAAGAAAGCGGCGGCGGCGACCAAACTCCGCAAGCCGCCGAAGCGCGACGCGGTAGCGAGCTGTGCTCCATTGCCGTAACCTCCGCGCTTGGATCCTCTCCGGGGACAGGAGTGTCTGACTTCATTTTCTCGGTCTCGGTTCCCTCGCAGGAGAAGAAGCTCGGGAAGAAGGGTGACATGGCGCAGTTCAGGGCGCACCTGGACTCCCTTGGGCTGAAGATAGTCGAAGTGACGGCAGATGGAAACTGCTTCTTCAGGTTTAGTAGGAGTGGCTTCTTTGGACTCTACTGTATTGCCACAAGAAGAAGAAACTAACTGATTTTGAACAAAATACCTTTTGTTGAAAGCAAATGATAGGAGCTCTGCCTTTTCAATTAACCGAGAGAGAAGTGTTACAAAACACTTTAAGAGATTTTGAACAAAATGCCAGGGCACGTTTTGAGTTATGCGTCCTTTTTGAGTTATATGACTACTCAATGTAGTATGCAGGGCTATGGGTGACCAGCTTGAAGGCAATGAGGAAGAGCACATGAAGTACCGAGCTATGGTTGTGGAATACATTGTGGTATGTGGGATAGCCTTTTGTAATTGGCGAACTGTAGTTGTACCCATGGTGTCATGAACTAGAGAAGGGCTTTAGATTTTAATTGAACATGCTAAATTGCTGGTGTTACATGCAAGCGTTGGACTATCTATGCTTCCTAATCCTTCTTGTTCGCATCTGCAGAAACACCGTGAGGAGTTTGAGCCATTTATCGAGGATGAAGTTCCGTTTGAGGAATACTGTGACTCTATGCTAAAGGATGGAACTTGGGCTGGCCACATGGAGCTGCAAGCCGCTTCTCTGCTGACAAGAAGAAATATATGCATTCACATGGTGGGTTAGCGATGCAAGCCTAGAAATAGAATTTTGATTTATTTGATTTATATGTAGCACACTTCATGCAGTCGAGAATATCATGTCTTGTATGGATTATGTTTCTAATATCACTGGGATGCTCTGCAGTTCTAGTTATCATCGATGGCATATTGCAAGTATTAATTAGCAGCTGTGCGTTTCTGATCTACCATTTGATTTGCAGCTTAACTCACCACGTTGGTACATAAACAACTTTTCTGGCCGTGAAGCTAGTAACATGGTTCACTTGTAAGTTAAAGTATCCTTCAACTGTTTGTACATGTTGAATGATGGTAACGTAAATCTAATTTGATGCCAATACAGGTCTTATCATCATGGTGAGCACTACAACAGTGTCAGGCTGAGAGAAGATCCATGTCAAGGTCCTGCAATGCCAGTTGTCATCAAGGTTTTTTGTTGTGTGATTTGTAAATGGTTCAGTTCTGTTTGTGTCCTGGAAGAGCTCTGAAAAATAGTCTTGAGGGAACATTGACAATACTGCCACTTATACTTTGGCCTATTTCCTTTTGTTATTGAGTTACAGACTGATGCCAATATATCCAACATAAACAATAACACTCAAACAAAAGCAAAGGAGGTGAAGAAATCTTCACACAGATCAACCTATGACCACACATCAGTTAAATTGGTCATGGCTGGAACTGGATGTTCTGACGTTGCCATAGCTGAGCATGTATGAACTATTTGATCGATCACAATTTTTGCAGCTCAGTTGTATGTTTACTTTAGATTCCTTGTTAGTAGCCATTTTTCTTCTAGTCTGAAATTTGCTATTATCATACAGGTTCTGGGAGAAATGGATGGTGATGTTGATGCTGCCATTGAGTACATGATAGCGGAGCGACTTGCAGTCAGTACTGATGATGCAGAGGTAGACCCTTATATGGACTATGCATGTAATGGTAAGTATCTCAAACTATCTTGACTCCTGAGGCACTATAAATGTAGTTGTCTGAGTATGGTCTTGTTCCAGTAGTATTTTTGCCAAAATACGGATGTTGGGGGTTGGGGCAAGAAAATTCCTTGGCTGAACAGATTGTAGTGAGACCTATCCGTGGTATGATTCAAGGGCATATTTGCACCACTGACATACATTCAGCAGTTGTTACAATATGAAATTCACTGACATATGTAGTCATCCCAAACAATTTACTTTTTGCTTTCTATCTTGGTTATGCCTCACTCATTCATGAATTTGTCAAAAGGGTATGATTGGTAGGTAGTTCAGTTTCTATATACAAGCTGTTCTGGTTGCATGCATATTAGTTAACAGATTTACCATTTTTCGGTCATCACAAAGATTATCATTGAGAAGAAGCTTGAACAGATATTTGGTAGGACTTGTTTTGTTGCTGGGCTACATCTGCTCTGCTCAATGAATGTCTGTAATGGCCAAAGGGGTTTAATATCTGAGACAGTAGCCCCATGGACAATAGATTTCTGATCATATGGAATTTCTGTCGATCTCAGCGAAAATGTCTCTACGTGTACTTCTTTTAGTTGCTATATTAGACTGATTTTGGGAAGTATGTCTAGATGTTAAGGGAAGCTAGGGCATTGACTATTGGGTTGGTTTCTGTTTGGTTTTCTCATCCTTGTTAATTAAGGTTCAGCTCTCTAAAATGATCACAACTTGAATTTATTTCATAGGAGATGAACTTATCAAATGGCAAGAGGAGAACAACATGATTGAGCATAAGGATGAAGCTAGTTGTTCCAGCAAAGATGAAACTGTCGAGAAACCAAAAAATCAGATGCTGTGCAATCTAAGAAGGTAACTGTCATGTGGGCGATTATTAACTGATGATCTTGCCAATATTGGTGTGTCTTGTGGCTTCGTTATCCTGAAAGCAACAAATGGGAAATATATATTCTTGTTGTCATACAGGAGAAGTCGAAAACCAAGGATTGTTGCTCCTGTGGATCTGCAAGGAAGCACAAGGCGTCTTGTAGTCTAGCCACATCATCATCATCATCATCAAGAAAGCCTCCAAGGTATAACCCTTCATTGTTTACATAGTCTTTTATCATATGCTATGCTATACCTGAGATTTTTTTCCCCATCACGGAGATGTTCTACTGGTAGGCAATATGTTCTCTTTGAATAAATAAAAAACAACATATCACATATACACTGATTGTTACATCTGTTCTTTGTATTGGTAGCACCTTGTTTTTTATTAGTTGATTACACATAGACGTGAAATGAACTTCTTTAAATGTGCTCAATATAAACCCATCAGGGCCAAAGGCGGGCAAGGGAAAGGCCAGAAAGGGAAGAAACCGAAGAAGAAAGAACAAGCGGAAGCAGCACCTGCCAAGGCCAAGGAGTCTGCAGTTGCGCCAGACCTAGGAGCTCTTTGCATCTGAACACAAGCAGCAGATACGCCAGGCCTGCTTTACATCCAGCTGTGTCTTCTCATGCTTAGCTGAAGCGAACGCGATCTGCTGACTGCTGAGTGCTGACTGAGTGACCGACATGTAATTCATCCTAACCATACGACAGGAGGGGCGATGGTGTTGGTAAACTAGCAGGTTTTGAGATGGAATAGAATCACAGATGTGTCATCGATGCCATAGTCGTGCAAATCTTCTTTTGATGATGAATCCCGTGTAAAGGAATGTCGGCTGCGGAATGCGCAAGCTGTTGAGCCTGTCGACTGACCTCTGTAGCTGGTGACGCCTCGGCCTCCACTGCACCCATCTTGGTGCCCTCGCCTGGCCTGACATGGTGAGACGACGAGACGCTCGCACCTGATGCCCAACCTCCTTTTCATCCGTGGATCTGCCTCGAAGTGCTGAACTCTGACATCAGTGGATCTGCCCCCCAAATGCTGATCTCTAGCGTAGATTAAGCATGCAAAGACCGAGGAGAGAATGGGAAATCTCCGATGCAGGCGTGTGCGCGTGATTCTCAAAGACCGCAACAGCGTTCGGACGACTAGAATGCATAGTGCATGCCTTGCCTTCTCACAGCCCACACTATGGGATTGTGAAGCCCTGATATAAGATGAAAATAGTATTCCTCTATATGGGCTCAAATGTACACATGATGGCCAAATTACAAATATACATTCATATATAATATACATACAAGTATCTTCTTTTTATCAAAAAAATATTGGGCCATGCCCCTGTACTGCATCCGCCCCTGGCACAGATGTGTGCCGCTTGTGTCACAGTTATATTTTGTGATATACATCTTAAACACCAAATGCTAATGCCTGCTCTCATGGTACACAAATCGATGAAACAAATGGTCCAATAAATCCACTTGGTGCAAGTCAAGTTTCTCACTCCATTTGTTCTCTATTTCTGATGTGCTTTTTGTAAAATAGGCATCACATTGCAGATCCTATAACAATTTAGAGTGAGGAAACCCTTTTGATGCAATTGTACCAGTCAGAATAATCTGTATATCCTTTCCAGCTGAAAATAACTATACTTCGGCAGCAGTCAGGCGTTGCAGGCGACAGTGCGCTTTAAGAGTTGAAGATATTTCCGGGTAAGACAGATCTATCATTCCTCCCATGAGTAGCTTGTCTGCGCAATGGAGGCGCGTAAACAGTTACCGGGAGGACCCATTCGCCCTTCTCCCTTTTCTCAACAAGGAGTGGGTGCTCGTACCTGGAAAAGAGAGAAGCCAGAATTATGCACTCAAAACTATCAGCAGCAGACAAGAAATATGTTCACACATTCCAAGCACCAGATGACACACACTGTGAATAAGATCACTCAAGTCAAACAAGTAAAATAGTTCTAACACAACGAGTTATGATAGTAGTTACGAACTCCTATCAAAATATTCATGCAAAATAATAGCAATATATGAAAGCAAGACACTGTCCCAGCACACAAAATAGTTAACACTGAGGCATACCTAGCTGGGTCTGTTCCTTCAGGAGTTGTGAAGAACTCAAATCGAAGAGACCACTGTACAGTGACCTTTGAGGTAGAAAATGACATAGGGCCATCAATGGGAATGGAAAATAGAAAGCTTGTCTGGTGAAGATCCGCAACAACCTCATGATGCTCACTATGCAGCTGCACATGAAAAGTCGAAAGAGAAGAGAAGGGTGAACCACTATAACCAACTAATGAAGTTAACAGTAAAAAGGTTGACATAAAAAATGACGTTTGTTTCATAGAAGCTAGAGCATGACATCTGATATTGCTGGAATGTTAACAATGGTAAAGAAATTCCAAGCTAAATAATTACTCAAGCCAAAAAGGTACTTGCCCTGATGTGAGAAAATGCTATCATAATACTTCACAACACTAAGGACTGGTTTGTGTAGAAAAGGATCCAAATCATTAGGATTTAGTTCAAACTTAGACAAAATCCTAAATGCATGAAAAGATACCTTGGTTATTGTCGGTGAGCCCCTTCTTGAAGGATGTAATGCGCGAGGATTAATTGTTTCTGATGTTTCCAGGGTTATCATTACCTGCAAATTACCAACCCACCATAAATATGAAATTCCATTTCACAGAAATTTACATGCTCAACCTTTTACCTCAAGGCACCTCCGTTTTCCAGTTCCGTGAAAGAAGGTAAGTGCTCCACCAATCTGCAATGAAAGAACTGAGATAACCAATTCTAACAAAACACAGCAAGAACTGCAATAAAACAAATTTTAGTACCATATCACCAAAGTAATAAGTTGAGTCAGAATTCTTGGGTGAAAAACGAAGCAAAACTTGGTCATCAATTCTTATATTATAAGATCTTCCTCTCGTAAAGCCTTCAGCTGCAAGTAAAGAAACAAAAAAGGAGGTCAATGATAACAATGAAGTAGACTGGTGAAATATAACACATATAGCACAGGAGCATGATGGCTTACATCCAGCTGGATCAACATTTTTTGGCGTAAGGGGGAGGCCAATATCATCTTTTGAGTGATAAGAATCTGGAGAAATCCTTTGCCCATTCGATGGATGGTCCAGAACCGGAAGCAAAATGTTTAGCTTCCTTTGAGGTGCAACTAAACCTGTTTGTGGCATTTATTTAGTTAAACGCCCTCCATGTAAGTGAATATAATATTTAAACATATGAGTAAGAGTTGTGCCCTCTCTCCCCCTTCTGAGAAAGAACCATGTACAGGTCATATTGTCACAAGTTAGAAGTGCTTTGCAGCAAAGGATGATGCACTACTAACATGGGCATTTTTTTCTGTCATGAAAAAACACGCTCAAATTTGCGAAGGAACACTCAACAAGAGCTGGGATAAAACTGCAAAGGTTTGCATATACTAATAGAAACATTAATCTCAACAAAGCTGAGATGAAAAACTTTGCAGTTTTGCATACTAATAGAAAAGGGATAGCTGGTAACACTAACCGCATTCAAAAAGGAAGGCATAAGGAGAAACAATTCCACATCATTAATCTTCAGGTCAGGAAGGCAAAACACAGAGGGAGGGAGATATCAAGTTCACAATACTCCCTCCCTCCCTCCCCTTATGAGTTGAATACCAAAATTCTAAAGCATATCAAATCTAAGTATCCAACTTTAAGCTTTAGTTCTTTACCTCTGTCATGATCATCTGAAATCTCTGACACTGACAATCGAGGAATTGGACTGTATGATGGGAAATTGGGTCGTTCTACTTGATTATAAAATGGCTCACTCGTGGAGAGCCGAGATGACAGAGACTGCATTGACAACGAGCTCCTCAGGGAGGATTCAGGATTTGCTTTGGAAGGATTGTATGAGGAAACAGATGAAACTTCATCTTTTGAACTATCATATCCTTCTTCTAGATCAGCATTATCATTTGCTTTGCTCTGCAATAGAGTAAGAGCAATTAAGTACAGAAAAAGTGTATTTTTTAGTCATATGGTTTAGTTAATTTACTATCTACATCTAAATGCAAGATACCTTTTAATGAAAAACTGCTCCAGTTCATATGAACATTTTTTTCAAAGTGATGAATAAATAACATTTTGCCAACTCATGCATCAAAATGTGTACGACAATATAGTGATGAAACCTGAGATCTGTTCATAGAAAAATAGAACTAACCCATTCTGAATCTTCATCTTTTTCCCTCCAAAATATGCCTGGCTGATCCACCGAGAATGGCAGTGTCCCTAAAACATCTGATTAAGTCAATGTAGTCAATAGCCAAATAGTTAAATTGATAACATTCATTTAAAACCCAACGGAGCGTTAACATGATAATTGATAATACTTGACGTGCAAGCACCTTAAATTGGCATAATGACTAACCTTCTTCATTTAGTAGGCTGCTGCTTTTCTGGGAAACACGTATCTGCAATGGGACTCGAGCTTCCTGCAGAACACAAGTGAATTTGGTCAGTTACTCTGAAAAATGTTACTTAGATGTATTACATAAACGTGGATAGAAAGATAACACATTCAGTACAATGTTGAATGATGCTAGAAACAATAACTGAAGTGGAATCAAGTGGCTTCCAATACAGTGATTAAGCTGTGATGGTAATTCATGAACAAGTTCATAAGATTAAGGCCAGCATAAGAACCACATGGAGGCGCTTATCGCTTATTATATCTTACTGTCAGCACACAATACTTGTTGGGCCAGTATAAAATTGCATATTTTGTGGGAGTATGAGGTGTATCCATGTAAACTCTCATCACCTCCCCCGTTCCCCTAGAAGGCATGTTCATGATGCTTACAAAGGTACCCATAGCCCCACAACCACAAACTTATAAAAAGCGGCTTTGTCACTGGCCGCAAAGACACAAGAATTTCAGAAACGAGACCTATTGTTGTTAGTTTGCATGCATCTCATTCTATATCAAAAATAGCAGGTAGTCAAAGAGATATGGTGCCAATCCTACAGTTTTGTAGGACAATTAGTTTACTCTATCTCACATTTTGCACTGTATGTCATTTCTTATTTTTTCTATCCATGACAAAATTTCAGGTCCTTATTGATGTTGAACAAGTGATCTTGACAAGACCTTCTATGCAAGTTACAAGCTCAAATAGTCTATAGAAGAGTAATACAGTTTGCTAAATGCCAGTCATCGAGTCGGCAAATCCATATTTTTAGCATACAACATGCATATTCCAAAAGTATCATTTTCGTCAGAATTAATTAAAAGCAGAAAAACAAGCTTCACACTCACCAGTTGAATTGCACTATTCACAAGACCTTTATATTGGTCTCCATTACCCAGTACAACTGGTCTTCCAAATACTGTGGTCCTAACATAATAAAAATAGCGGATACTGATGCCCCTATAAGATGGCGGTAAGATCTTTGGGAGCTCCACACGTGCAATGTCTGCATAAATGGTTTTCTTTAAAGTTATTTACAAAGCGTTTGTGCTGAAATTCACACACTGCTCAGAAAGTTTGTAAAACTATTTACATCAGATACACACAGCACTAAAATGCCAACTGAAGAAATAAGAACATATTTTAAGGCCTAAAAACAAGGAGATATGTAAAAAATAGATAGGACAGTGCTTTGGGTCTTTATTATTAACTATGCTAGCAATTTAGCACGCAGGCCCTTTGGGACACAGGAATTTTAGAGGAATCAGTTCATTTTCATAGGAAAAACATAGCAACCAGAAAATTTTCCTACATTCTAAAGGGAACCTAAAGGAAGGGCAGGCCTGGTGCAGTGGTGAGAGCTGTCTCACTGAGTCACCAGGTCACGGGTTCGAAGCAGCCTCTCCGCAGATTTTGCCGGGGGAAGGCTTGCCTCGGTTTTTCCCTTCCCAAGACCCCACTCATGTGGGAGCCTCCGGCACTGGGTCTGCCCATTCTAAAGGGAACCTAAATGAAAAGAGAAGGCAACTATACACTGTCCACTTAAGATAACATGCCAAAAGGAAGCCAACATTCAATAACAGTTCAATAAACATGCATGTGGCAAACACCCCTCCACAGTACAGCCATGTCTCTCTTAGTGACTGACGTTACACATTTTACCCCCACAAATGCAGGAAAGAACAGCATTTGGCTTCACAAATAGAAATGATAGACTCACATGTTTTTGATGGTTTACATGAAGGTATACAACAACAACAACAACAACAAAGCCTTTAAGTCCCAAACAAGTTGGGGTAGGCTAGAGTTGAAACCCAACAGAAACAATCAAGGTTCAGGCACGTGAATAGCTGTCTTCCAAGCATTCCTATCTAAGGCTAAGTCTTTGGGTATATTCCATCCTTTCAAGTCTCCTTTTATTGCCTCTACCCAAGTCAACTTCGGTCTTCCTCTCGCCTCTCTTCAAACTATCCCGACTTAGGATTCCACTACGCACCGCACAACTCAAGGTCTCAGCTGAAATGTCCAAACCATCTCAACATGTTGGACAAGCTTTTCTTCAATTGGCGCTACCCCTAATCTCTCACGATATCATCGTTCAACTCGATCCCTTCTTGTATGCAAAAATCTTACGCAACATACGCATTTCCACACTTAGCCGTGAATATGTCGCCTTTTTCAGAGGGCCAACATTCTCGCACCATACAAACATAGCAGTCTAATCGCTCCTATAAAACTTGCCTTTTAGCTTCTTTGGTACCCTTTTGTCACATAGGACACCAGACGCTTGCCGCCACTTCATCCACCCTATTCTATGGCTAACATCTTCATCAATATCTCCGTCCCTCTGTAGCATTGATCCTAAATATCGAAAGGTATCCATCCTAGGCACTACTTGACCTTCCAAACTAACATCTTCCTCCTCCCGAGTAGTAGTGCCGAAGTCACATCTCATATACTCAGTTTACATGAAGGTATGATGGAAAATAAATATCTTCAGTTCATGTTAAGAGATGGATCAATGAGAATAACAAGCGCTATATAAATAATTAGCAGAACTAGTGAAGTATAAAATAATTTATTAGGGCAGCAGGATCTTAGAAATCATGCCAACATTTGTTTCAAGCGATATAGAATATAACATTATCGAACTTAAAGTCCACTACTGAACAGAAGGAACAATAAAACAAGGTATTCCTTACACGTTTTTGTTCGCCCTGCACCAATTATTACTTTAGAAACCAGTGATGGTGCTGAACAATCCAGAAACATATGTTCACCTGGTTTCAATCACAGTACAAAGGAGGAATATGAGAAAACTAAAAAAAAGGATATAATCAATTAGTTCCATGTAACAATAAACAGACTTGGGCAACTCAAGGGATGAAAGGAAAAATGCCCAACCATGAAATACAAAGAGCAAGATAAAAATTAAGTTTTGCAAACATGCACTGAATAAAAAACAGGCATAAATGATGAGTTGATGACTAAACAACATATTAAGTATTTATGGCGAATGAGAAAAGGCATTGTTATATAGGAGTACAGATTGCTAGGAAAATGATTCATTTACACAATGACATGATAATCAGACTGTCACCTCGCCTTTGTTTAGACCCTGGTAAGGGCTTCGGAACAGAGAACCATTGGCTATCCAGCTTCTCAATCCCCTTAAGTTCAAAGGAGAGCACATCTAACAACAGCGAGGGGGTATCCTCGCCCGATACTGTCTGCCCAGCATCATCCTTCAAACTAGCTGGGGTACAGATTTCAATAGTCACAGTGACTGAATCGCCAGGTCTGTAGGCCTCCTTATCTGTCTGGAGTTTCAATGTTGGGGATAACTGTTGTTTGGCTGCTGAATCAACCTTCCGGTCCTCAAACCATCCAACACTTCTTAAGAAGGAAAGCCCTTGCGGAATTGGAAGTTTCAGTGACATCGTATCAGAGTATCAGACCCGTAGCACTAACTCATCAAATTTCCACCACTGCATTCCTGCATCAGAGAGAGAATAATCCAGGAACTCCATCAGCGACCCAGTTAAGACATGGATGTACACATGTACGCCCAATATTTTTTGCAAAAAAAAAGAGAAATGGTTTGCAGGCATAATACACTTGAAATTGGATGAGATTCAGATCAGATCCGAATACAAATAGCTTGGGTTTGGGTGCTCGGTTCCAAACAGCGGGAACGGAAGAGAAGGGATGCGCGTACCTGATGGAGTGATGGGTGCCCGTCGGGCCGGCGAAGATCCCGAAGATGAAAGACCTGGGCACCCGGCGTAGGGCGGCAGCAATGGTGGCTGCCCAGTCGTCGCCACCAGAGACAGGAAACACCGAAACAGAGCGCAGGCGAGGGTCACGAGTACAAGGAGAAAATGGCGACTCTGCCGCGACGAAAAGTGGGCTTCGGTGCGGTTTATCATTATCAAACGATATACACCCGCTAAAATACTCTGACGAACTTATTGCCAAATTAAATTTATTTTTTTTGCGCGGCATATTTTCCTTCACGTTTTGCTCCTCAACCTTATCTCTTTCTTCCTTTTCATTTACGGTCCTTCACGGACGGGAGAGACGAGACGTCTACGCTGCCGCTAGGTCAAGCAAGGAGAGGAAACGGCTCCCCACTGCCACCCCCGCCGCCGCCGCCTGCGACGACGATGCCGATGGTCGACGGCAGGCCACCTCCTGGGCCGTTTCCCGAAGCCAGCCAGGCGTGTTGGCTCTGCCGGGCGACGCCGGCGCTGCTCCAAGTGCTGGGTGGAGGAGAACTTGCCAGATCTCATCCAAAGGTATGTATTCTTCTCGTTGTGGTGGTAACGTAACTGTGCCTAATCATGCAGATGAGACTCAACTAATGTGGATGTGGTGGTAATCTAACTGTGCCATCTTTTTTTGTACTAGGCTCGATGAGGAGCCTGAGCTTAGCTTAGCACTGGTAGAACCTCCTGCACAGCAGATGCAGACACCTCTTGTTGATTGGGATACGCTACGCATCGAGAAAAGTCGAGATGAAGAGGGAAGAATTGAGATTGTTGATGATGAGATGATGTATGAACTGTTGGGGTTTAGGGCTAAGGATGAGGAGGCTGATAAGGCAAGGAAGGCAACTAGTAAAGGTTGCGGTTAATAGAACGATGATACTGGGCCGATTTGGATCATGCACCACAGTCCTCTCCCTCGGTAAATACTCGGCAGAGAACCAAGGGAGAGGACTGTGGTGCATGATCCAAATCAGCCCAGTATGGATCTTGGCACAGTTTATCCTTAACATGAAGGAGTTTAGATTGGCTTAAGACAAATTGCTATAAATAAAGAGTTTGAACTACACATTGTCAAAACAGATCCAGCTAGATACATTGTTGATTACAACGGAGAAGATTGTCCTTGGCATCTTATTGGGCATAGACAGACTGATGGGTGCATTGTTATGGCACTAACTTGCATTTTGCGTTCTGTTATTTTTTTTCTTCAATAACTTTAGACTGACAATGTTCTTTTGTCCTTCTTCTATATTGTTTGTCTTGACTAATTATTTTTTATTGTAGGTGACAAAGGTTATTGATGAGCATACATGTGAATCTAAGTGCTAGGAGGAAGACTACCACACCAACCAGTGCTTGGGTTGCTTCAAAGGCAGTACATCATCTTAGGAAGAAAACAACTATGGGCCCTAAGGAACTACAAGACACTTTACAGGACGAGCACAAGTGTATAATTCATTATGACACTGTTTGTAGAGGTAGACAAATTGCTTTAAGAGAATTGTATGGCAAATGGGAAGAGAGCTTTCAGCTGCTATTCAATTAGAGGACAGAGGTCCTGAAGAGATGTCCAGGTAGTGCTGCTGAGATTAGCATTAAGGAGGTAGATGGCATGTTCTATTTTCATAGATTTTTCTGTGTATTAAAACCTTGCATTGAAGGTTTTTAGAATGATGCAGGCCATACCTTAGCATAGACTCTACTGCACTTAATGGTAGGTGGAATGATCATTTAGCTACAACTTATGGTATAGATGGTCATAACTGGATGTACCCAATTACTTTTGGCTTTATTAATGGTGAGACAACGGATAGCTGGACTTGGTTTATGACTCAGTTGCATAAGGTCATAGGAGATCTTCCTGTTTTAGCTATCTTGTCGGATGCATGCAAAGGTCTAGAAAATGCAGTTAAGAAAGTGTTTCCGCAGGCTGAACATAGGGAATGCTTTAGACATCTAATGAACAATTTTATTAAAAGGTTTGGTGGTGATGTATTCTCTAAGATGTATCCTGCAGCTAGAGCTTATAGAGAATTAGTTTTCAATTATTTTTACAAGTCAATCACTAATGCTAGTCCTCAAGTGTTAGTTTAGATGGAGGCTCACCATTATAAGTTGTGGATGAGACCTGCCTTCAATCCCGAGATTAAAGCTACAAATGCCATCTCAATGGGACCAAGAAAAGGTAAGACCTGCTATATTTACTTGCTGTCCTGATAAAAGCTCTAGTTTGGTTTTGATGAATTGATAAAACCCTAAGTGCTAACCTAGTTTATCAAGTGATCATGAGTTAGGTAGCACATTCCAAGTGGTGAAGCAAATGAAGATCATAACATGATGATGGTGATGCCATGGTGATGATCAAGTGCTTGGACTTAAAAAAGAAGAAAGAGAAAAACAAAAGGCTCAAGGCAAAGGTATAAATAGTAGGAGTCATTTTGTTTTTTGCGATCGAGACACTTAGTGAGTGTGATCATGTTTAGGATCGATAGTCGTACTATTAAGAGGGGTGAAACTCATATCGGAATGCGGTTATCAAAGTGCCACTAGATGCTCTAACTCATTGCATATGCATTTAGGATCTAGTGGAGTGCTAACACCCTTGAAAATGTTCATGAAAATATGCTAATATATGTGCACAAGGTGATACACTTGGTGGTTGGCACATTTGAGCAAGGGTGAAGAACATAGAGTTGAAAAGGAGTTGGTCACACAGTGACCGGACGCTGGCCTCGGTTGGACCGACGCGTCCGGTCAAGTGGAGTATGAAGACGCTGGCGTCGGTCTCTGACCGGACGCTGGGTCACCTAGTGACCGGACGCTGGAGGGGTGCGTCCGGTCCTGCTGATGTGGCAGCGCACATAAGAGTCACCATGTGACCAGACGCTGGGAGACTCCGGTCGAGCATGACCAGACGCGTCCGGTCGTGAAAAGTAGTCTCTGGATGCTTACTGGAAACGACCGGATGCTGGGGCTCAGCGTCCGGTCACTTTGAGCTGCTGCGTCCGGTCATCACTTGACCGTTGAGATTGGGCGATCGACATTTGAAGAGAGGGGACACGTGGCACACATCGTGTGACCGGACGCTGAGATCCAGCGTCCGGTCAATATGATCGGAGTGTCCGGTCACCCCGCGTTGTGCCCAGTAAAGGGGTACAACGGCTCTATTTCGTGGGGGCTTCTATTTAAGCCCAATGACCGGTTCAAGTTCACTCTCTTGGCCATTTGCATTGACATAACAACCTTGTGAGTTTAGTCAAAGCCCTCCCACTCATCTCCATCATTGATTCATCATCTTTGTGAGATTAGGAGAGAATCCAAGTGCATTGCTTGAGTGTTTGCATCTAGAGGCACTAGGTGTTCGTGTTTCGCTGCGGAATTCGCTTGTTACTCTTGGTGGTTGCCGCCACCTAGATGGCTTGGAGCAGCGAGGATCGTCGAGCGAAGATTGGTGATTGTCTCCGGCTCCGATCGTGGTGATTATGAGGGGTTCGTGATCTTTCCTCGGTGGAGAGCCAAAAAATACTCTAGTGAATTGCTCGTGGCTTGTATGATCCTTATCTTGTGTTGGTTGTGCACCACCCTATTGAGGGTTTGGCACGTGTGATGCCAATTAGCACGTGAACCTCTAAGTGAGTGAATTGCCACAACGAGGAGTAGCTTGCCGGCAAACAAGTGAACCTCGGTAAAAATCATTGTGTTCATCATTTGATTTCGAGGTGATTGGTCTTTGTTGATATTGATTCTTATGATTGATTGGTTCACTCCTCGACATGGCAGTATAATTATTTACTCTCTCTCTTTACGTTACCGCAAACTAGTTATCAAGCTCTTTAGTGTAGTTAGTTGTAAGAGCTTGATAGTTTGGTTAGCGTGGTTCTTTAGTTAGTCTTTGAGAGCACACTAACTTAGTGTAGTGCTATAGCTATTGTGTGGGTAGAAACTATATAAATTAGAATTGTGGTAGGTGGCTTGCTATTTTAGTAGGCTAGCGCAACACTTGTTTCGTCTTATAATTATCTAACCGGTTTGTTAAGTGTTGTTGTAGAAATTTTTAATAGGCTATTCACCCCCCCATCTAGCCATTAGGACCTTTCAAGTGGTATCAGAGCTAAGGTCACCGTGATTTGAGGCTTAACAACCTTCGGTATAAAAATGGCTCAAATCAACAACACCAAGAAGCCACCCCAATTTGATGGCACAAATTATCCATATTGGAAATCAAAGATGACCACACATATCAAGTCAATCAATAGAAGAGTGTGAAAGGTGGTAGAAACCAAAATTGAGATTGAGGATCCGGAGAATCCCACCGCGGCCGAAGAAGTGCTTCACCAAAATAATGACATTGCTCTAAGTGACATTCATGATACAATTGATGAAAGAATATTTGAGCAAATCAAGAATATTGCGATGGATCATGAGGCTTGAAAGAAGTTGGAAGAATTATTTGAGGGCACTCAAGCCGTGAAGGGTGCAAAGGCATATATTCTCAAAGAGAAGTTTACAAGCTTCAAGATGAAGGAGGATGAGAGTATGCCGGAAATGTTCCATAGGCTTCAAGTGCTTGTCAATGATCTCAAAGCACTTAGAGAAGAGGTGAAGGAACAAGGACTTCTCCCACAAGTTCTTGAGATGCTTGTCTTTAAAATTTGGCACATTGGTCAATATTCTAGTGAGGAGTGGTTTGGACACCATGACACCAAACCAAGTGTTAGGAGATATAATGACCGATGATACATATAGAGATGATGATGAGAAGAAAGAAAAGAAGGAGAAAAAAGATGAGAAGAAGGATGAGAAGAAAAAGAGTGTGGCATTCAAGGCCACATCATTCAAGGGCAAGGCAAAGCAAGATACATCAAGTGAAGATGGTGGCTCATGGGATGATGATGATGAAAAAGAAGATGGCTCTCTTTGTCAAAAAATTTGGCAAGTTCATGATGAAGAAAGGGTACCGTGTTAGAAGAAAGAAATATTCATCCAAAAACAAGAAAGAGTCAAAAAGGTGCTTCAAATGTAGAAGCAAAGATCATCTTGTTGCTCAATATCCATACAATAGCGACAATGATGATGACAATAAACAGAACAAGAAAAAGGACAAGAAGGAAAAGAAAGAGAAGAAGAACAAGATGACCTTCAAGAAGAAGAATGGTTCATATGTGGTCACTTGGGATAGTGATGCTTCCTCAAGTGATGATGATGATAGTGATGATGACAAGACCACCAAGAAGAAGGCACTTGCAAGCATTGCAATCAATGAGAAGCCTTCTCTCTTTGACACTCCATCATGCTTCATGGCTAACGCCACTAAGGTACAAACTTGTAATGATGGAAGTGATGAGGAACATGATAATGAAAATGAAAATAAAAGTGATAGTGATGATGATGAACCTACTAAGGATAAACTATTCGACATGCTAAAAGATGCTAAAGAACACTTTGACATCAAGAGAAGAGAATGCAAAAGCTTGCATAAGGAACTAAAAGCCCTTAAGCAAGCCTTTGATGAGCTCAATGCATCTCATGAGAGGCTAGAGGAGGCCCATGAGAAGCTTGGCAAGGCTCACAAAAAGCTTGAAAAGGCTCATTCCTCTTTACTTAATGAGCAAAATAAAAAGAAGCATATTGAGACTTGTGATGTAGGCTTAACTTGTGATATAATTGATGAATCATTATCTATGTCTATCATTGTTCCTCCTGCTAACCCTTCTTGTAGTACTTCTACTTCCACCTTATCTAGTAGTGATGGTTTCACTTGTGATGCCTCACTAATGGTTGAGAATGAGAACCTCAAGAAGGAGGTCAATAAGCTCACTCACACCTTGGTTAAGGCCTATGGTGATGAGGACCGCTTGCTTATGTGTTTGGATAGCCAAAGAGCTTCTCTCTACAAAGAGGGATCGGGCTATACCCCCAAGAAAGGCAAGGCGGCATTTGCTCCTCACAAGACTAGTTTTGTGAAGAACAATGGTCGATTTTGCACTAGTTGCAAGCAAATTGGTCATGTAGAGTATGAATGCAAAAACAAAAGCAAAAATGCTAATGTATCCTCTATTAAGCTTGATTCTTTTTATATGCTTATCAAGGGTGCAAATGGTGTAAAGGCTCCAAGTGAGTGAATCGCCACAACGAGGAGTAGCTTACCGGCAAGCAAGTGAACCTCGGTAAAAATCATTGCGTTTATCATTTGATTCTGAGGTGATTGGTCTTTGTTGATATTGATTCTTGTGATTGATTGGTTCACTCCTCGATACGGCAGTATAATTATCTTGCTCTCTCTCTTTACGTTACCGTAAACTAGTTATCAAGCTTTTTAGTGTAGCTAGTTGTGAGAGCTTGATAGTTTGGTTAATGTGGTTCTTTAGTTAGTCTTTGAGAGCACACTAACTAGTATAGTGCTATAGCTGTTGTATGGATAGAAACTATATAAACTAGAATTATGGTAGATGTCTTGCTATTTTAGTAGGCTAGCGCAACACTTGTTTCGCCTCATAATTGTCTAACCGGTTTGTTAAGTGTTGTTGTAGAAATTTTTAATAGGCTATTCACCCCCCTCTAACCATTAGGACCTTTCACCTGATTTGTGTGCTCATTAACTTAAATATATTTTTTTCTAAACTTGTAGGAAAAGAAAGCCAATGAAAAATACAACAAAGTATGATGAGAATAAAAAGATCCCAACAAAGAGAGCAAAGAAGGAAGGAAAATCTCTGGATACTGGTACTAAACCACCAGCTCCAAATGCTTTCAATGATCAAGAAATGGATATACCAGGCTCAAATGCTTTCAATGACCAAGAAATGGCACCATCAGCCCCAAACGCTTTCAATGACCAAGAAATGGCTGCACCAGCCCCCAAATGCACAATCTAGCCCCACAAGGCTCACAAGGGACTAGATCATACATAACAACTCCATTAGAGTGATAAAATGGTATGCAATACATTATTTCTCATTCTTTTATACTTGTACACAAGATCAACAAATGACTCATAGTGGTATTTTTATTGTAGCCGACTCCAAACCCTGCTAGGTGAAGGTGTCGATCCCATCATTGCTGCCTCACCAGACAAGACAGTGCAAAAGAGGAGCCCACTAAAAAATTGAAGCCAAAGAAATTGAAAACCAATTGATGCTTTGTGTCTAGAATATTATCTGGACATGTATCTGGACCTTATTTATCCTATGTATCTGGACCTTAGTTAATTTATTTGGACCTACGTTATTGTAACTTAAATGGTACCTATGTATTGTGTGAACCTTTATAAAATCTACTATATTTCTGAAATATTATTGTGATCATGAAATTGTGTCAAATTTTTTTCCAAATTCAATTGAAATTCTGTCCAAATTCAAGCAAAATTATGTCAAAAATTTGTCTAAATTCAGACAAGATTCCGTCAAAATCAGACCACATGATCTGCATAAACAAGTGAAAATGACTCATGATTCTAGAAAAACATCTTCATTACATAGGACTTAGATGTCATTATAACACATACTTCACTTGCTAATAGGCACTACCATGACTAAAAGAACTAGGACTACAATTACTAAACACACCACCACCACCAGCTGCACCAGAATGATAAGCTTGTCCGTCTTGAGATCCATCATATCTGCAGCATAACTCACACACAACCACACAAACACACAAGAGCTAACTCACACACACATTGACTGACCAACAGAGACATTAGTTGTTCACTTTCACATAAAGGTAACCACAACACCAATCAGGACACCTACAAAGCCCACAAAAACAGAATAATTGATCATAATTTGCTTCGGCTCAGGCTTTGGCTCATGAATCGGCTCTGCAGGCTTCACCTTCAATTTCCAAAGTTCAGCTACAACACTATCAAGTGTTTGCTTTAACTCTTGCAATTCTGCTTTCAATTCAGAGCAACAGTCATGATGCCTCCTTAGCCTTCAGTCGGTGTTCTTGTGCTTCCAACTTCACATTCTGCACCTTAGAGCGAATATAACCATAGGTAGTTGGATCACCCTACACTCAAAACGCATCAATCAGAGGATCAACAAGAGACATAGTGAGGTCACCGATGTCAAGAATTCTTACCATGATGTTGTACGGGCATTTGAGATACCACTCGCCCAAAGTTGTCGGCTGCTTGCTCTGGATCCAGACCAATGGAACATGGCAAAAGGGGCACTCACTACTGCCGCTACCCGTTACGCTCGAGCCCTCCGAGGTTACATTCATCGAGCTTCTAGTCTAGTTCTCGGCCTAGCGCGGATGCATTGGGGTGGCAACGGCGGCCCCGGCCTGGCGCGGAAGCGTCGGTGGCGGCAACCGCGGCGTGGCGTGGACGGTCGGTGGCGGCCTGGCACGGATGGTCTCGCACGGACGCGTCGGGAGGGAGGTGGCGTTGTCGTCTCGCGTCTCTCTATCTCTGGTTCGCTCTCCGTGAATGACCGTGAATGAAAATGAAGGGATAAGGCTGAGGGGCAAAACGGGAAGGAAAATATGCCGTGGCAAAAAAAAATTTAATTTGACAATAAATCTATCGCAGTGTATTTGAGTAGGTGTACCTCGTTTGACAATTGGGGAACGGACGAATTCTATTTGCAAGATGACAAAAGTGCGAACGCAGAATCGCCATTTTCTCCGAGTACAAGCTACACAGCCTACAGGCGCGTCTCAGCCTGGAAGAAGAAGGCCCATTAAAGGCCCAACTACCACGTGGCGGATATGTATATATACACTGCGAAGTAACCCTAACCGCCACCAGCCTCCGCGCTCTCCTCCCAGTGCCCGCCGCCGTGCGCTTGCTATCCCTCTCCCTCGAGGACTTCACCAGCGAAGAGCTCCCAGTCGCTTACCAGGTATTGCAACCCCCCTTCTCTTCCCCGTCTGCTGCGCGAAACCGAGTTCCCAAATTCTAACCACAAGCTATTTGGCTGTTTGACGCCTACTAACTTCGAACTTTTTGCAAAAATCACCCATGTCGCTCCTGCTACTGTGGTTGCTGTTCGGATGAGATGCTATTTCTCTGCGCTGGGTTCTGATATTGTGAATGAATCCGCTGAACCATTCTGGACATGTCTTGAACTGCTTGTTGACTTAGATCTCTAGTTGAGGAGGCCTTGTTAAGATTTGCTCTGGTCCTTAAGCGTGGATGTTGACTTGTAGTGTTATGTACTCCGTAGTAAGCATTCACCAAGTACTATTCACCGGGTATTGGACTCTATGCGCTTCTGTATGCACTTCTGTTCGGATTTCCGTTAAGCATATTGGTATTTTTCTGGTGCTGCACTGTGTCATTGTTGTTATCATATATTAGTGCTTGAATTTTTCATTGTAACAGATAATAGATTCGTGGTAGTTGATTTGCTTTAGATTCTTGGGTCGGTTGCTTTACTATTTTATCTCACCTCAAATTGGGAACTAGCTAATATGACGATTTATGATGGTTTGAGCAGGATGAAGTTTATTGCTGCCTACCTGCTTGCTGTCCTCGGTGGGAACCTCAGCCCCTCTTCTGAGGACTTGGCAGCCATTCTGGAGTCAGGTAATTTCTCTTAACTGTCATTTCAAGGAGTGCAACACATCCAACAGTTAACTCTTGTTACTATAAACTCTACTCGGCCATATGAAAAATAAACTCAATTCTGCCAATATCATTATCTGCTTCTCGAAGGTAGGAATCTTGGTTTTTTTTATTTATGTTAAACTACAAGTTATCATTTTTTAGCACAGTTGGTCTGATTTGCATTGGTGGTGTATTCATCACAGTACTGACCCTGAATTCACTAATTTACTCTTCGCATCACATGTCTCATGAGCAGAAGCATCTAATCTTATCATTCCTACTTGTGCATGTCGCAGTTGGCTGTGAAGTTGACAATGAAAAGATGGAACTCCTTCTGTCCCAACTGAGCGGTAAGGACATTACCGAGCTCATTGCCGCAGGCAGGGAGAAGTTTGCTTCAGTCCCATGTGGCGGTGGTGGTGTGGCTGTCGCGGCAGCTGCCCCTGCTGCTGGCGGAGCTGCTCCTGCAGCTGAGGCAAAGAAAGAAGAGAAGGTGGAAGAGAAGGAAGAAAGTGATGATGTAAGATCGTTGTTCTCCCATTCTGGCTGCAACAATTTTTCCCCTATCAGAGCAGCAGCCATATGCTACTCTGTTCTGATATTATCTTCATGAGCAAAATACCACTAACAATGCTCTATTGCCATCTCAATTGCATTCCCTCTTGATATCCTGAAACCAATTATTTTATGTTGTTCTTTCTTGACTATGTTGATTATGTTTCCTGCAGGACATGGGCTTCAGCCTCTTCGACTAAGCTGTGCCGTCATCAGAGTATTGTTTTGAGTTGGAGAGCCAGAGGAAAATCGTAGTCATGTTTGGAGACTTTAACCTTGTTTTATGTTGGAAAGTACTTGAAAGACTACTGCTGTCTTTATATGTGGTAATTCAGCTGTAGGTTTCTATGCTGGTTGGGGTTTACTGGTGAACCAGAGTTTTTCTATCCAAAATTATGAATCGGTTGCCACAAGTTTCCTGGTTGTTCACTATTTTGTTGGTACATGTCGATTGACTGAGTATATTTATGTGCTACCATGAAAGCTCTTGATAGCAGTCGCCAATTTCGTTGTGCTTGGAATTGTGACTCGCATTGGTAACTGCTCGGAGGCTGGCTGTGGGTATTTGTGCTTTTGGCATGAATTTTTGCATTGATAAAAGTTAAGAGCTGTGAAGTTGATATCTGATGGTGGTTGTCAGCTGGAATTTCCCTGGTGCATCACCTGGCTGGCCAAACTTATAAGAACTATAGGCACACTGCATCGTATTTAAGGTCCGTTGTACTTTTGACTGAAATTCTCGTTTTGACTTTAAGGCTAATATCAGGCCTGGTTTAAATCAGAGTGTAAAGTTTTGGGGTATATATAAAGATGTCGTATGGGTGTTTGATATTAATAAAAAATAAATTATAAAATCCGTCAGTAATTTGTGAGACGAATTTATTAAGCTTAATTAATTTGTCATTAGCACATGTGTTATCTGTGCAATTAGTTATTATTTAGTTTATATTTAATAATTCATGAATGTGTTTAAATATTCGATGAGATAGAGAGAAACTTTAGGCGAGGAGACTTGCGGCCTGTTCGCTTGGTCGTAAACGATCGTAAATTTTCAGTCAGAACAATATTTTTTTCTTACACCAAACCAGCCAGCGATAATAATCCACGATCGTATCAGCATCAGCCGAACAGGTTGTTGTGACTTGGGGGGCGTTTGTTCTGTTTTGTTGACACGCCCCTGAGACTTGGGACTTCGGGGCTATCTGGAATTTTGGATGCAACCCTGACCTAGTTGGCTGGGCATGTTATCTGCCTGTGAGAACAACTCCGAGAGCTTAGTAAATTAACTTCCTATTTGCAGAAAGAGAAAAAAAAAGACAGCACCTAATAATTTAGCAAGTAAATTTTACCAAGCGCTTAGAGTTGCACCGTTTGGTTGAAGCCTGAGATATACAGTCTGTTTGTTTGGTCGTATTTGGTTTATAAGTCATGACTTATCAGTCAACGAATAATATTTTTCTCTCATATCAAACCAACCAACAGTACTTTTAACTATAACTTATAAGTCAAATCAGCCCAAACCAACATGACAATAGCTGGATAGAAAGGCCTTTCAGCGTTGGGTTCATTGGTTGCCTTAAAAATTACACTCGATTGATTAGAATAGTGATAAAGTTACTTGAGACAAGCTGTTTGATATTTGAAGCACTTTCACAGTATGACTAAATAAGCATTTAGTAGTATATATTCGGCGCGTTCGGCTGGTCTGAAAATTTCAGACCAGCCGGCTGCTTCTCCTCACATGCTACAGTGCATATTCTAGACGCTACAGTGTTTTTCTCTCACACAACCAACCGCTACAGTTTTTTGTCTTCTTTTTTCAGACAAGCGAATGGGGCTATTACGGCTAAAGTTTTCAGATCACAAACTAGTATGACTGAATAAACATTTAAGTATATTATGGCTAAAGTTTACAGACCACAAACTAAACATTCTGATTCTGAAGTAAATTAACCGTTAACTCACATTTTAATCAGCAAGTATAGAAACAATAGCAGAAACGAAGTTTAGGCTTAAAATGTTGTTTTCCTTATTCATTATCCCGCTGACATGTGGACTTGGATGGGCATAAAATGGCAAGAGGCCAAACACTGTTTGATTTACTCCCTCGGTCCCAAAACAAGTGTTGCTGTCACTTCCAAAAAGTCAAATGTTTTAAACTTTGATCAAATATATATAAAAAAATATTAATATTTATAATATATAATTAGTGTTATTAGATAGATCGTTGAATCTATTTTCATAATAAAATTATTTGAAAATATAAATATTGCTAATATTTCCTATAAATCTAGGCAAACTTAAAAATATTTAACCGGCACGAATGTTATAACGACATTTATTTTGGGATGGATGGAATACACGAGAAAGAAAAGTATCATGTGTTGTTTGGATGTTAGAATATTAAGAAACCATGGCATTAGGAAGCTCATTGACGTGTAAAACCATGGTTTAGAAAAAAGGAGGAATAGACTAGAGTTTTTAAAACTATAAAAGACTACAATTTTAAAACCATAAAATAAAATCAAAATATTTTATAAAATTATAATATGTATACCTAATAATAAAGAGACAAATTTTCTTGCCACCTTAAATTTTCGTCCAACTCTGATCTCTACTAAGATTCTGGTTTATATACTCTCTCTGAGTCACACGCGTGCACTCCCAATCCCATGTTAGTTGCTGGTTCCGTCCCCACGGTGGAAACTCCACCGCAAACTCCTTGCTTGACCGTACAAATCTCCAACTTAAATAAAAATCAAGCTCCAAATTGGATCGAAATCAAATACAATAATGTTACAACTCGAAGGATCCAATAATGGAACAAAAATGATATGATAAATTCTCAACTTTATAGCCCCGTCCAATCTCAATTAGGAGCCTCGAGGCGAGGGAAGAGGCACCATCACCAGTGCCAGCGTCCAAGGTCGCCGAGAAGGAGGCGGTGGTAAAGGAGCTTGGTGACGCAGGTCGGTGACCTTGGACGAAGCAGACTCGAGAGTGAGTAGCAGCGCGTGGAGGGCCGCGTCGGCGGTGGCGAAGGGTAGGCGGAGCAGTGACGAGAATTGTGGCGAATTAGGGTCCGGCGACGGGTATGCCGGCGACGTGGAGAGGAGGTCGAGTGCCGCCTTTGCTGCGCATATATGTCAACGCCCTGCCCACGTACGTTCCTATCTAGGCACCCGGAGAAGGAAGGAGAAGGAGAAGCTAGACACGATGGAGAGATCGACGGCGGCAGTTGACAGCTACAGGTTGCTGAGGCGCCCGTCGAAGAGCTGCGTGGCATAGTTGATGCCGTAGAGGCAGCGGGAGTTGGACATCCCGCTTGTGCACGTCCGCCCTTCCAGCGACGGTGTTGGGCCGCGGTGATTGGAGCGACACATCGACGATGACGAAGTGGATGGAGACGGAGAGACGACGTCCTCCATAGCGTGGCGCTCGATGCTATTGATGTCGCGCTCGACGTCCTCCGCGTCCCTGAGCAGCCTTCCGGCATACGCAGATAGCACGGTAACCAGCCATCCCTAAGTCACCTCCCGTCGTACGCGGACAGCACGGCCACCATGTCGCTGGCGGACTCCTTCGCCTCCCTCATGGCCAGCGACAATGAGCGCCTCCTGACCTCATCACGGCGCCTCAGCCCGGATCACGTAGAACCAAACGGAGAGCGCGCCGTTGCGTATCGCAGCCTCGCCGGCATCGCCACCGCACACACCAACTTTTAGGGAAGTGGAGAGAGGAGAGTTCGGATGGGGAGATACAGATGAGAGAGAGAGGTTGCAGGGCCGCACGGGATGGATGGATGCACGCAGAGTTGAGGAGAAGATAAAGGTCGTCACGTATTTTTGTATTTGATATATAATTAATATTAAAGTATTGTGTGTTTCTTTTATCAAACCAGGATTCCAGTCATGCATCATGCATATGCATGCGGGCATGTGACCAATATGCATGGCAATTAATCGGCCAACGCATGATCCATACAAGGACACTATCATGCTAGTGTAAACATTAACTTATATTATATTGTCGGTGTTATGGTCATAAAATAATTAATTGTAGCTTAAAATTTTATAGAAAAGATAAACAAACATAAATAAATACATAGAATTTCCACAATCGTGTTTCACGAATATTTGATGAATTTTTTCTCCCATTACAACGCACGAGTATATTTACTAGTTTGTCTAAAACTCCAAAAATACTTTATTACTATATCTAAATAGGGCCCAGTGGGTTTGTGAAATTTGCTGACAGAGAAAAAGAACAAGCACGCCGAAGCAGCGCGCCACCAGCCAGAAGCGCTGATGTGGAGTTGTACTATTGCCCAGGAGACCAGGAGCCATGGAGGATTGTAGGGTGACTTGTGATTTGTGAAGTCGTTTTTGAGTCTAATATATTGCCCAAGAGTACCGTTTGTGTAGATTACTATTTGGTTGCCTCACCGGATGTGACGCGAAGTCTGCAAAATCATCAACAGAAAATGAAACTACAGGCCTGCAACGGTGTTGCTTGGTAATGGCCGAAATAGGTTTCTTGGTCAAGAAGTGAAAGCCGATCGAGAGCATCATCTTTTTGCGAGGCTAAGGAAAGGAAATGGCACAAGTACAGAACGTGAGCTCCACTAGTGTGTCAAATGTCAAACGGCTTCTCGTTTAGTTTCTTCCTTCGGGCATTTGGGCGTTCCCAGAAGCAATGGGCCATGCGACGACTTGGAGGATCATAAAAAGGAAATTATCAACACGAGCCTTCATTGGCTATGGATCATCGTATATACATTGCGTAGGGCAAAGCAGTCATTTTACCCGTTCTCGCGTGTGGACCAGCACGCGATATATACAATAGTGTCTTGCCAATGCATTTCCTTTTATTTCCCATATATTGTATTTTGTGGTGTGCCCATGAACTATAGTGCCAACTTGCTTGAATAATTCAGATACTAACTTGCATGAATACTTCAGAAGAATGGCATCGTGTCGTATAGCGTGTAGCCATGTCCATAGGGATACACGACGGAGGATTGTCGTCGGTCAATATCTCAGGTCTCTTTGGCCATTAAAGTTGGAGCTTGGAGAAGGCCGAGTCGAGGAAGGTCTAATATCAGTTCGGTCGACTTCTGGTTCCACCTAAGAAAACTCTGACTTTGATTTTTTTATAGCGAAGGTGGAACTATTTTAGAAAACGTTTAGAAAAAACAGCT